AAAAAAAATATATATATATATATATATATATATATATATAGAAATTAAATTAATTAATTATATAGAAATTTAATTAGAAAATGGCAAGGGATAGAAACCCGCTAGTAGTGGGTCGGGTTATAGGTGAAGTATTGGATCCATTCACAAGATGCATTGGGCTTAGAGTTACTTACAACAACAGAAGAGAAGTTTCTAATGGCTGTGAGTATAGGCCATCTCAAGTCCTTAACCAGCCTAGGGTTGATGTCGGTGGCGATGATCTTCGCACTTTCTACACTCTGGTAATTGTCTCTGTTTTTTCAAGCTTTTACGTACTCTCTGTAATTAATTAACATATCTGAACATATATAGATAATCGCTCGTGTTATTATTTTGGTATTATAATCTATTTTTTCATGTTTTGTTTTCGTGTCATTCTTTCTGAGTTAATTCAGTCAACTTTTATTTATTTATTTGTATTATTACAGGTTATGGTAGACCCTGATGCTCCAAGCCCTAGTGATCCTAGTCTTAGAGAATATTTGCACTGGTAAGAATATATAATTAAAAAATAAAAAAAAAAACCATTTATATTGATTGAAATCAATTTATTACACCATTTTTTATTTTATTTAATCATTTTCTTGTAATTATTGATTAATCTCTATCTTGAAAATTGAATCTAAAATATGTCGTTGCTTGGATTTTTATTCGATCGTTATTGAAAGATATCTGTGACTATGAATCGTGCAGGGCTCGATCGATCGGTCGGTCCGTCTCTAGCTATCCCAGCATCAGTTAGCCAGAATAATTATTAATGCTGTGTTTGCTTGTCTAATTGCCAATCTTTTCATTAATTATTGTCCACGAGAAAAAAAAAATATATATTAAAAAAAAATTAAAGGCATTATTATTAATTAGTCAAGATTCACTCAATAAGTATTGTACTACTCTCCAAATTCTATTCCCGTGTGTAACTAACAAAAATTTAAAAAAAAAAAAAAAAGAATCTTGGACAGTACTGAAATTAGCTTTTATGAGCAAATCATGCATGTACTAGAAAGAATAATATACGAATCAATTTAGAGTGGTGATATATTTTTATTTATTTTTTTCTTCTCACTGACGGATTGATATACATATCTCTGTTGAGGTCGTTTCTGTCTGTTTTTTATTCTCCCCTTGAGAATTTTTAGTGTCGTCGTGTTATTTTTGGGTTTCTAGAGTATTATCCCGTTGGGGTCGGTCATAGGTGGAATTCGGTCTCGTCCTCCCAGTCTATTCAGTTGTTGGTTGCTTCCATTCAGCTGCTGGCTGTTTGTATTCAGCTTGTAGTTGTACTTTTGCACTTTTGGTGAGCTTTTATATAATATTTCTATCGTTTCAAATATATATATATATTTATATATACATGCATGCATGTGTCTTTCATACTACAGTACTTACTAGGTATTTGTTGTGTTGATACACTACTGCTCCTAAAGTTTACCAACTTGACTGTGTGCTGTGTCCTGTGTGTGTACGTGTACGTATTCTAACAAAAATTAAATAAAATAACATTTTATTAATTAGTTTGAATAAAATTTGATTATATCTCATCAATTACCAATTACTAACACTATCATAATTAACATTTTTTTTTTATGTATATATATGTAGGCTGGTTACTGATATTCCTGCCACAACTGGAGCAACTTTTGGTGAGTATATATATTCATGAGTTTGTAGCCTCGTTAACGGCATAATTTCAAAATTGGTCCTATAATTTGACCACTTTCCAAAAAAACCACATCGATCTTAATCACTTTCAAAGTTGGTCCTGTAATTTGACATTTCATCGATAATGAAATTTGGTCCTGTAATTTCATCGATAATGAAATTTGGTCTTTTTTATCCATAACATGGATTAAAATGTGATTAAAAAATGACCAAAATTGATTAAAAATGACAAAATTTGATCAAAATGTCAAATTATAGGACCAAGTTTGAAAGTGGTCAAATTATAGGACCAATTTTGAAATTATGCCCCCTCGTTAAGGGAAAAAAAAAGTTTTTTCGTCCTTTATCTGCAGGCCATTTTCGTTTTGGTCCCGTAAATGGACTGTTTTTGGAAATAGTCCCATAATGTTTATTATTTAACTTCAATTTTATATCTACCAATATCATTTTATCTAATAATATATATACATTATTCAAATGTTATTTAATTACATTGTTTAATAAAAATT